GTTTCTGCATGGTTGTTCGGCGTGGAGGTGTTTTTTAATGCTGCCATGATTTATGACGATGCCACCCGCATTAATTTCGCAGTTTCACTGTTGCGAGGGCCTGCGCTGGAGTGGTGGAGGCGAACGCTGCAGCACGAAGGGACTTCGGCAGGAATAGCACGTGCGAACGACGGGACTTCGACACCTGTCACGCATCAGGCAACATCAATTTTCGGGACGGCCACGATACGCACATGGAAGGAGTGGGGCGCCGCCTTGCGAACCAGATTCGAGCACATATCCGCCTCGGATTCTGCTCGCATGCAGCTGCGTACCTGGAAGCAGCTGGCGTCGGTCCAAGACTACACCAGCAAATTCTGCAACTTGGCGGACCAAGTGGACGACATGAGCGATGCAGAGCGGTTGGATCGCTACGTGGCGGGCCTGAAATACGAGATACAATACGAGGTCCGACGAACCCGGCCACGCAGCTTCAACGACGCCGTCCGGGAAGCCGAGTCAACGGATGCGCTGATGCAGTGGGCGAGATCGAGCTCCCGGGAGGGCCCTCGATTTCGTGGACCGCCGCAGCAGCCCACGATCAACGGCGTGGATGCACCGAGCCGAGCCCTTGGGCCGTGCTTTCAATGCAACCAGCTGGGTCACCTGAAGAAAGACTGCCCGAAGCTTAAGCAGGGGAAGAAGAACGACGGAGAAGGGTCGGGAAAAGATGTGAGTCAGTAGCAGAAGGGCCACCTACTGACGAGACCCTGTCGCCCGACAATCACCATCCACACCGGGTCGTGGTACCGATCAGAGCTATCGACCAGAACCGGACGAATAACGTGGGTGAACACGTGGACTACCCTGTGCTGGTGGTGGGGAGGGTTAACGGTTATAAAATAAAAATATTCGTTGACGGTGGGGCGAGCCACAGTCTCGTCAACCTGGCAACGGCCAAAAAAATAGGGGTGAAGCTGACCAGGTGTCTGCCGGAGATCGATGCAAGGCTGGTGGATGGGACACCGCTGGCCATCCGAGATGAGGCGCGACAAATTCGGATAAAGTGCGGCGACAATTTCGGGTTTGGCATGAAAATGTTGGCGACGACATTGGACGGCTGCGATGTGCTGCTGGGGAGGGATTGGCTACAGCGATTCAATCCGACGATCGACTGGACGACTGGGGCGTGCGTCGTGCGAGGATACGGAGGGAAGACGACGCTTCCGAAATGGACGGAGCCGGAGCCGGTGACGACACGTGTCAACGCGGTCAACATGCAGCGTGCGATGAACAGCGGAGCTCAGACCTTCTATGTGCACCTGTACGAGGTGGAAGCTTCCGAGAAAATCGCGGACATCGACACCCTCTGCGCAGCAGTCCCCGAGGAATTGGCGAGCATCATTCGGAAGTATCCCGAAATTTTCGCGGATGACCTCCCGGATGGCTTGCCCCCCCAACGACCTGAGGATCATCGGATCCAGCTGGAGCCGGGAGCGCAACCTACTGTACGGTCACAGTGGCGGCTCAGCCAACCAGAGCTCGCCGAGTTGCGGGCACAGCTGGATTATCTACTCGCCAAGGGCTTCATCCGGCCAAGCACGTCGCCGTATGCAGCGCCGATACTGTTCACGCCGAAGAAGGACGGGGGCCTAAGAATGTGTATTGATTATCGGGCGCTGAATCGGGTCACGATAAAATCGCGTTACCCGATCCCGCGAACTGACGATCTGCTGGATCAACTTCGCGGAGCTCGGTATTTTTCGAAGATCGACTTGCGAGGAGGCTACCACCAAATTCGCGTGTTCGCCGACGACTGCCCGAAGACCGCTTTTCGCACACGTTACGGTAGTTATGAGTTCACAGTGATGCCGTTCGGTCTGACAAACGCGCCCTCGACGTTCCAGCTCACCATGAACGGGATTTTTCGGGACATGCTGGACAAAAAAGTCATCGTGTACTTGGACGACATTCTGGTGTACAGCGCGACAAAAGAGGACCATCTGCGGGATTTAGAGGAGGTGTTCCGGCGTTTACAGGGGCATCGGCTCATTACGAAGGGGTCTAAGTGCGAGTTCCTAAAGCCGGAATTAGAGTTTTTGGGGCACGTAGTTTCTGGCGAAGGGATTAAAATCGACCCACGTAAGGTGGACGCCATCGCTAAGTGGAAGCCGCCTACTAATATCCCTGAGTTGCAAAGTTTTTTGGGATTTGTTAATTTTGTTCGTCGTTTTGTACCTAACATGGCAGGGATAACCAAGCCGCTGACCGACCTGCTGCACCACGACAGTGATTTTCGGTGGGGGGAGAGGGAGCAGTCCGCCTTCGACGCCCTCAAAAACATTTTGAAGTCACCCCCTGTACTCCGCCTCGCCGACCCATCTCGACCGTTCGAAGTCGTCACGGACGCCAGCGATTTCGCCGTCGGCGCCGTCCTGCTACAGGACTTCGGCAAAGGGCTGCAACCCATCGCCTACGAATCACGCAAGATGCACCCACCCGAGCGCAACTACCCAGTCCACGACAAGGAGATGCTGGCCATCGTCCATGCATTCCGCGTCTGGCGCTGCTACCTCACGGGAGCCGACGTGACTATTCGAACCGACCACAAATCGCTACAGTACATGCGCACGCAACCGACACTCAACCCGCGACAAATCCGGTGGCTGGACTTTCTTGAGTCCAACTTTCGGTACAACATCACGTACAAAAAGGGCGCCAACAACATCGCCGACGCCCTCACCCGACCATCCATGCAAAACGCGGCGGTGCTAATCGCCCACACCAACCCGATGCTGACGGGACTATTCACCCACGGCTACAAGATCGACAGGTTTTTTCGGAACCCGCAACAACAGGCTGCTACACCGCACGGCAAGTACTACCTAAAAGCCGGTACTAACCGGATTTGGGTACCAGCATACCAGCCTTTACGGGAGCTGCTGACGCAGGAGGTTCACGACTCCAACCTTTCCGGGCACTTCGGCACCGACAAAACACTGAAGCTGCTGCAGCGGAATTATTACTGGCCGGACATGTTAACCGATGTGCAGCGCTACGTGTCAACCTGCCCGACCTGCCAAGCAATGAAGTCGTCGCGACAAAGGCCAGCCGGACTACTGCAACCCCTCGAGCCACCCGAACGACCGTGGCAACAGGTGACGATGGATTTCGTCACGGGGCTACCAGCTGGCGCGAGTGGCAACGACTCGGTAATGGTCGTCGTCGATCGCCTAACGAAAATGGCGCATTTCGCCCCATGCCGCACGACGATCACAGCCGAAGATACAGCTAAACTGTTCATCTCCACCGTCGTACGCTTACACGGGTTACCTTCGGCGATCATCAGCGATCGTGATCCGAAGTTCACGTCGAAGTTCTGGCAGGAGACGTGGGCACAGTACGGTACCCGCCTGCAGTTTTCGTCGTCATACCACCCGCAAACCGACGGACAGACGGAACGGACAAATCAGACCATGGAGCAACTGATTCGCACCAACTGCCCCGACATCCGCAAGTGGGAGGATTCGCTGCCGATGCTGGAATTTGCGTACAACAACGCCCCTTCGGCCACGACTCGACAGTCACCGTTCTTCCTAAATTACGGGATAGACCCCGTGGTACCCTCTTCAACGACTGTGGACAACCCGGTACCACGATCACAACAATTTGTCACGGAGCTGCAGACCGCCCGCACGAAAGCAGCTGATTTTATTCGACGGGCTAATACCACAGCCAGCCACCAGGCGGACAAGCATCGACGGAATTTACCCTTCCGCGCAGGGCAGGTTGTGCTACTCGACACCAAAAATCTCCGGCTGCCGCAGCCCGCGAAATTACGGCCCCGATACGTGGGACCCTTTCGTATCATCCATATGATGACACCTGTCACCGCGAAGCTGCTGCTACCCGATGACTGGAAAATCCATGACGCATTCCACGTCAGCCTACTGCGTCATTACGAACAGCCGCAGTCGCCAGCTGTTGCTCGGCCATCCCTCGCGCCGACCACACGCCCCGTGGCAGAGCCCACGCTGGAACCTTGGAAGATTCTCAACCATCGTGTGGAGGTGACCGCCGCCGGTCGCTCGGTCAAGTTCCTGCTTCGTTGGAAAGAACGCACGAGCGAGGACGACACGTACGTCAACGCGGACTCGCTACTGGGACATCCGGTTGTGGATGCTTACCTGGCCCGCCGAGGTGTCTCGGATATTCACCACCTTTCTTAAAGGGGGGGGGGTAGTGTAAGGAATTTTTCGGATTCCTTACTGGGTCACTCCGTACGCGTACAACCCCGACTTTCGGAAAACCAGGCTCGGTCCGCCGACCTCGCCTTCCGAGCCACCACCGCGTCGCCTTCGGGTTTTCCAACCCCGAACCTGCACCCAACCATCTCGCGACCCCGCGACCTCGGCCTAGCTAGGACTTGCTATATTGTGCCTAGGCCTCGTTGTTCATGCAGACGTTGTAATCACTTCCGCATTATTGAGTTCTGCGCACTCTCTTCTTTCACAACTCATAACACATCAACTGTCCACCTGAATTGATTACTCACTCGTTTCTTTCCCAATATCAACCCCCAAACGAACCACAAGTGTCGCCACTCCCAACATTCCAGATCTGCATCTGAAAAGGGAGCCGCACGTAATCGAATCTCACTTTCCAGTGCGAAGTATCAATGCCGTGAAAAGGAGCATAGTCTAGCGCGGATGGTGACTGGTCATACCGCTCTGACCAAGAGCTTAGCTTCCAGATTCACGACGACACGCAAGAGACATTTTTGCTGCGCCCAGCGTAATCCATGGCGTAATCCTTAGCGGTTCGCAACGTCATTTACCGTAGCGTAGTGGCCCTCTTACGGCTCAACCTCTTTCTATTCAAGCGCTTCTGGCTTATACATGGCTCTTCTTCGTTCCCAGACGCCGTTCAGTTCAGTAGGACAGGACCCAGTCCTTAGCAGAGGCCCCGTCGCAAGTCCACTCGATACAAGGCCCGCATTTTTCTCCAGCTCTCCGTCAAGAATGAACCTTGTAACGGACCGCATGGGGAGACCCGTAGGGAGGCTTTCAGCAAGGTGTGGCGGCTTTCGGAGTCCTCCGGCGAACAAGCTATGCCTCGCGAATTCATTAGTTCGTCACGAGCGGCAGTCAAGTAGCGCGACTTTTCAGGCGCCTCAGAACCGCGCTCGTGCGCCGTTAGGTGATAAACGGACTGCCACGTCACCATGTCGTGTTATTGTTACTCGAGCCACCTCAAGAGGAAACGACGGGGAGGGGCGGGATGAATCTGCGCGCGCAGCAGCGGAGCAGCTGACGTCACTGCAGAGATCGCTGACGCAGCTTCTGTGCGTGATGGGGAATCTGGCGAGCGCGGTGGGGGAGGTTGCGCAGGCAGCGGGGGAGGTGGCGGAAGCAGCAGTGGCGGAACGGGGAAGCGGAATGACTGGTTCGCGTGCAACAATATCAGCTGCAGCAGCCGCTACTGCTGCTACATCTGCCGCTGCTGCAGCAGCAGAGGCAGGAGGAGCAGTGGCTAAGGCTGCTGCGGCCGCAGCAGCTGCTGCCGCTAGTGCTGCGGCTGCCTCTTCTGCCAATGCGTCTTTGATAGTAGCTGCATCAGCAGCAGAAGCAGCAGGAGCAGAAGGCCTAGCACCAAATACAAGTGAAGGGGGAGGGGGAGGGGGAGAGGGGAAGGGGAGATTGCTGGAAGGGCATGAGCTGGCGCTGGCGCTGCAGCGCGCGTTTGTGCAGGCCCGGATTGAAGGGCTGGGAAAACCACGGCAGGTGGGTGCGTGTGTTTGTGTGTGCACGGGAGAGGGCGAGTGAGAGGTGTGAGCATGTGTGTTGATTCTTGACATTTGTGCAGGCCCGGATTGAAGGGCTGGAAAATCAGGAGGTCTTGGTGATTTTGTGGATGCGAGCGTGGCAGCATGGGCTTTAAGAATCTCCAGCTGAAGCTGCTGCTGGCGGAGGCTGCTCTGCTAATCCTATCCGCTCCCCCTCTTCTCCTCCATCAGGAAGCTTTGAGTGATTTCACTTATGCGTGCGTGGCGGCACGGGCGCAGTCCCTGGGCTTTAAGGACCTCCAGCTGAAGCTGATGCTTCCGACCTACTCTCATCTCCCTCTCCCACCTGATCAGGAAGCTCTGAGTGACCTTGTGGACGCGCGCATGGCGGCACGGGCGCAATCCCTAGGCTTTAAGGACCTCCAGCTGAAACTGCTGCTGGCGGAGACTGGTCTTCTGATCCTGTCCCCTGCCCCCCTTTGTTTCGATCAGGAAGCTTTGAGTGATTTCGTGGATGTCTGTATGGCGGCACGGGCGCAGTCCCTGGGCTTTAAGGACCTCCAGCTGAAGCTTTTTCTGGCGGAGGCTGCACTGCCTGCCCCTGCCCCCTGCCCCCTGCCCCCTGCCCCCTGCCCCCTGCCCCCTGCCCCCTGCCCCCTGCCCCCTGCCCCCTGCCCCCTGCCCCCTGCCCCCTGCCCCCTGCCCCCTGTCCCCTGGGCCCCTTTGTTTCCATCAGGAAGCTTAAAGTGACTTGTGGATGCCTGTATGGCGGCACGGGCACAATCCCTGGGCTTTAAGGACCTCCAGCTGAAGCTTCTTCTGGCGGAAGCTGCCTTGCCCGTCCCCTTCTCCATGATGGGCTCTGCTGGGGAGGAGGGGGAGGGGGGGATTGGCGCAGGGGCTATATCAGGGGAGCTCAGGTCTCTTCATTGGTTTATTCCCCCCTCCTCCCACCCCTCTGTCCCACCACATCAGGAAGCTTTGAGTGATTTCGTGGATGCCTGCATGGCAGCACGGGCGCAATCCCTGGGCTTTAAGGACCTTCAGCTGAAGCTTCTTCTGGCGGAGGCTGCCCTGCCCGTCCCCTTCTCCATGATGAGCGGTGCTGGGGAGGAGGGGGAGGGGGGTGGGGCGGCGGGGGAGGCAGGGGGGGAAGCGGGGGAGAGATTGGGGGAGAGATTGGGGGAGAGAGAACGAGAAGGAAAGGAGGAGGATGGTGAGGAGGGTGTGGAAAGTGGGGAGTTAGGGGGAGGGGGCGCGGAGGAGGGAGGAAAGGGAGAGGAGGGAGAGGCGGCTGGGTTGGAAGAGAAGGGAGAGGAGGGAGAGGAGGAGAGGGTGGAGGGGGATTTGGATAGTGATGACGAGAGAAAGAGCAGCGCGCTTAAAGCCCTTCGAGGACCCTTCCTGGCCGAGGTTGGTATGGAGGGTCGCCTGGGTGGGCATGCGGTTATGGGTTATGGGGCATGGAGGCATGGAGGCATGGAGGCATGGAGGGATGGGGGTATGGGGGTATGGGGGTATGGGAAGTAAGGATGGGCACGGAGCAGGTATGGGAGTGCTCGCACCATGAGAGCACCCGTGCATGTTTGAGGCGCCTCAAAAGGGAGTGCTCGCACCATGAGAGTGCCCGTGCCTGCTTCGCAGCCGCTTCCCCTTCCACTTTCATCGATTAACTTGCGATTCATTGAAGAGGCGCTTGCGATTCTCGTTCTTAATGTGCCTCTTCATTGTGGTTGTCCATGGGAGGTGCAGGCGTATGCTCTCTCAACCCCTCTCAACGCCTCTCAACCCCCCTCACCCTCTCTCACCTCACTCTGTCATCCCTCGTACACAGGAGGTCCGGGTACGCACACTATGGGTCCGCCTAGTATACACCACCCTCAACATGGTACGCACGTCCCACATGCCACCTTGTGTGAGGTGTTTCTTTGACAGTGTGATTATGGGGTTTTTTTTACACATTTTAAAACCCGCCTGCTACCAAAAGGGTCCGCATGGTGTACACCACACTTAATCTAATTCCCTCCGTGCCACCTCACCATGCCACCAGGTGGACAACATAAGGAGTGGAGAGGGGTACGAGGGAGTCGTATCAGCAGACGGTTCTCAGCCTCCCGACCCTACCGATGGGTTTGTGCAGCAGGTGGGTGGGTGTGGTGTGAGGGGTGTGATTGAGACGCCTAGAAAACAATGTGCAGTGAAAGAGGCGCCTATCGTCCCACCGATGGGTTTGTGCAGCAGGTGGGTGGGTGTGGTGCGAGGAGTGTTATTGAGACGCCTAGAAAACAATGTGCAGTGAAAGAGGCGCCTATCGTCCCACCGATGGGTTTGTGCAGCAGGTGGGTGGGTGTGGTGCGAGGAGTGTTATTGAGACGCCTAGAAAACAATGTGCAGTGAAAGAGGCGCCTATCGTCCCACCGATGGGTTTGTGCAGCAGGTGGGTGGGTGTGGTGCGAGGAGTGTTATTGAGACGCCTAGAAAACAATGCGCAGTGAAAGAGGCGCCTATCGTCCCACCGATGGGTTTGTGCAGCAGGTGGGTGGGTGCGGTGCGCGGGGAGTCAGTGGGCTCCTTGTGGTGTGGCTTTACAGGGTGTGTGGAGGGAGTGGGGGAGGGGGAGAGAAAGGAGGGTCGTAGCCTCCTGACCCTACCAATGGGTTTGTGCAGCAGGTGGGTGGGTGTGGTGCGAGGGGTGTGATTGAGACGCCTCACAAACAATGTGCAGTGAGAGAGACGCCTATCGTCCCACCGATGGGTTTGTGCAGCAGGTGGGTGTGGTGCATCAGACCAGGGCAGGTACTACAGCTTCGTGTTGGGAGAGCAGGAGAGCCAGGCAACGCCAGTGCCGCCCTCCATTGCCACCCTCCCATCATCCCTCCTCACCCCTCTTCATCTCTTGTCACTGCTCTTCACCCTTCTTCACCGCTCTTCACCCCTACCAGACCGTCAAGGCAGCATTTGACCAAGGCAGGGACTACAACTTTGTGCGGATGGAGCAGGTACTATTTGGTCAGGTGCTATCTGCCCAGGTTTTTTCTGCCCAGGTGCTATTTGGCCAGGAGCTACCCGGCTAGGCACTATCTGACTAGTTGCTACCCAAGCAGGCATGACCTGGCCAGGTGCTTTCTGGCCAGGTTCTATCTGACCAGGTGATATCCTCTTCAGGTTCTATCCGACCAGGTGATATCCTCATCAGGTTCTATCTGACCAGGTGATATCCTCATCAGGTTCTATCCGACCAGGTGATATCCTCATCAGGTTCTATCTGACCAGGTGATATCCTCATCAGGTTCTATCTGACCAGGTGATATCCTCATCAGGTTCTATCTGACCAGGTGGTATCCTCATCAGGTTCTATCTGACCAGGTGGTATCCTCATCAGGTTCTATCCGTCAAGGTACCGTACAACCTGAGCATGAAATGTTTGCCTCTCCCATCCCCATCCATCCCCTGGCTTGCCTACTCCCCTCCCCTCCTCCCTCCTACCTCCCCTCCTTGCCTCTCAAAAGAGCCAGGCAACACCAGTGTCCCCCCACCATCCTGCAGCAAATCCAGCTCCTCATTCTCTTAGCGCCTCCATAATAATCTCGCCTCTTCCCCTTCCTCCTACCCCCGTTTCTCCCCTCCTTAGGAGAGCCAGCCAACACCGGTGCCCCCCTCCATAGCCACTCTGCAGCAGACCCAGCTGCTCATTCTCCTCGCTCTCTCCAAAGGCATGGCTGCCACCTCATAATGATATGGCTCCAAAGTGGTAGATCTTAGTGCTAGCAGCTGCGCCAGGCAGCACCAGTGCCTCCCTCCATAGCCACCCTGCAGCAGATACAGCTGCTCATTCTCTTAGCACTCTCATAAAGATATGGCTCCAAGCGGTGAATCTTAGTGCTAGGGTAGCTGCGCCAGCCAACACCAGTGCCCCCCTCCATTGCCACCTTGCAGCAGACCCAGCTGCTCATTCTCCTTGCTCTCTCCAAACCAAAGGCATGGCTGCTACCGCCGCATGGCACTAGCTGTAGTGTTGCCTCCTAGCAATGAGTCAGGCAACGACAGTGCCTTCCTCCATAGCCACCTTTCAGCAGATCCAGCTGCTGATTCTCCTGGCACTGTCTCATGGCATGGCTGCTGGTGCTAGTTCATACTCGCACACACAAAGCTGGATATTCTCAAGTCTCACATTGATTTTGTTCATTGGTACTATTTTTGTTCACAAAATCTGGGGGCTGAACATAGTTTTCAAAGCTCCTTTTAAAAATACAGTATTGAGGAGTGAATTGATAAAGAGCTTCTACTGTTAACTACCCCAAAAGCCTGAATGGAGACAAAACCTCAGCAGCAGTGTTGCAGCGTTGAATGTTGTGGAGGTAGCGATGGTGGTGGTGGTGATGGTGATGGTGGTGGTGGTGGTGGTGGTGGTGGGGGTGGTGGTGATGGTGATGGTGAGTGATGTACCGATGCTAATGTCTGCCAACAGGGTAAGAGGATCTTTTAGAGTTTACATCGAGTTAAACGTCTAGTTTTGAGACGTCTCAAAAGGCACAACTTTAGTTTTAGTTTACACTGAGTTGAACGCACAGTTAGCAAGTTGCCAACCAGACGAAAGTGCAGGTGCAGCAGCAGGGGCAGGTGCAGAGGTGCAGGTGCAGGTGCAGGGGCAAGTGCAGCAGCAGCAGCAGGGGTGGGGGCAGAGTTGACAAAGGAAGGACAGAGACGGGCAATGCGGCGGGGAGCGAGGGCTGGCGAGAGCGACGAGGGGTAGAGAGAGAGAGAGAGTGGCTACAGTTGACTTTTGAGTCAACTCAAAAGGGGCAACTGTGGGGGCAGAGTTGACAAAGGAAGGACAGAGACGGGCAATGCGGCGGGGAGCGAGGGCTGGCGAGAGCGACGAGGGGGAGAGAGCGGCTATGGCTACAGGTGCTGCTCTTTCAGTGGATCAAGTCAGGGGGGCCTGCTGCTTTCGAGAATTGATAGAAGTCTGTCAGTTGGCCAGATCAAGGGGTGGCTTGGTAGCAGACAAGGTTTGGTGCGAGGAGGGGTGGGGAAGGACAGAGATGGGTGAACGGCGGGGAGAGAGGGCGGGTGAGAGGGATGAGGGGGAGAGAGATGGTGAGGAGAGGGAGAAGAGAGGGGAGGAGGAGCGAGGAGGGGAGGAGCGAGGGGAGGGGGTGGTGGATCTTTGCACTGGTATGTGTGAGGGTGTGCGGGTGAGGGATGGGGAAGAGAGGGACTTGTGGGGTTGATGGGTTGCGCGGGGTAGGAGTGAGGGAGAGGGTGAGCGGTTGGGGGAAGAGGTAGAGGTGGAGAGGGGGGAGGAGGAGGAAGAGGAGAATGAGGAGGAGAGTGAGGAGGAGAGTGAGGAGGAGGGAGAAGACTTTGATGCACGGGTGAATAGGAGGCTTGTAGAATACATGTTGCTGCTGCCAGTCTTGAGTGCTTGCACTCTCTTGGGTCCGATCTGATAGGGCAGGTGTGGAGTGGAGAGAGAGGGAGAAGGAAGGCTGAGAGAAAGAGAGCAAGAAAGCATAATACAAATTGCTGCCTCAGATAGGGCTCAATTTTGATGGTGGAAAGACTTCTGTGGCGCCAAAAAAATCGGCACAATTTCGATGGGGGGAAGAGGGCGAAATACATGTTGCTGTTGCTGCACTACTGACTGCCCCTCTCCCTGTTCTGAGGCGTCCCTTGAAGCGCCTCAGAAACACTGTCACCCAGGGTGAGCCGGTAACCCTTGTGAGTGATTTTTGAGAATTCTCGAGAAACACTGTCACCCAGGGTGAGCCGGTAACCCTTGCGAGTGATTTTTGAGAATTCTCGAGAAACACTGTCACCCAGGGTGAGCCGGTAATCCCTGAATTACCGGCAATTAGCTCACCTTTTTGAAGAGCATGCTGCAGGTGGCAGGGAAATACTGTCCGAGGTACATGAGTAGCAGCACAGGCTGTGGTACAGGGTGTTGGAGGGGGTCAGGGGGTGTTGAAAGCGGTATGAGCCGGTGGAAGGGAAGTGCTGTGCGATACACATGAGTAGCAGCACAGGGTGGGGGGTACAGGGGAGGGCCGGGATGAGGAGGGGGGGTGTGCCGATGGGGGACGGGGAGGAGGGAAGAGAAGGGGGACCATTCAGGAGGAAGAGAGGAGAGAGAGGGGGCCAGGGGAGGTTGAGAGCAGCATACTACATAATGGCTCCACTCACATGTTTGGAGATCCATGCTTCTTCCAGCTTCCAAGCAGCAGCGCTCACTATGAGCTCTGCACACCGCGATGCTGGCATGCGAGAGTCCTGGGAAGGGAAGAAGATAGAAGAATCACGGGAAAGGTGGATCGGATGAGAGGGTTGAGGGCTGGTGGGGAGGGAGAGGCGAGCAGCAGCAGCGCTCACTATGAGCTCTGCACATCGCGATGCTGGCATGCGAAAAATCCACCCAATTCACACCCACTCACGCACTTGCCCACTCACCCACCCGCCCACCCAGTCCCACACTCACTTTCTCGTCTCCCTCAGCACCAGCGGCAGCATCTTGTGCTTGATCAACGGATGATTTCGAGGCGGATTTGATAGCTCCCTCAGCCGACCCCTCAGTGGCGATCGGCCCAGGGCACACAAGCGTGACGGCCACACCGTGCTGCACCGCTTCATACCGCAGTGTGTTGAAGTACCCGTGCAGGGCGTGCTTGGTGGCGGCATAGACGCCTTGAGTGGGCGCTGGGAGCTTGCCTGCTGCGCTGCTCACCTGGTTATAAGGGGAAAGGGGAGGGTGGAAAACGGGAAGGAGTGACAGCCGTGATTGGTGGTGGCATAGACTCCTTGCGTGGGTGCTGGGAGCTTGCCCGCTGCACTGCTCAGCTGTTTTGGGGGAAAGGGGAGAAAGACTAGGAGGGTGAAGGGAGGGAGTTGGAAGGGAGGGAAGGAAAGGGTAAGAACTTGTGCAAAGCGTGCTTCGTGGCGGAGTATACGCATTGAGTGGGTGCCTTGAGCTTGCCTGCTGCGCTGCTCAGCTGGTTATGTGGGCGGAGGGGAAAAGGGGGAAGTGGGGGAGGGAGGGGATAACAGAGTGAAGGTGAAGGACATGCTTGGTGGCGGCGTATACACATTGAGTGAGAGCTGGGAGCTTGTCTGCTGCACTGCTCTGCTCACCTGCTAACCACATGGCCTTGCTGCATACCATAGACTAGCTGTCGCTTGGCATTCCACAGCAGCACTCACCACGAGAATCTGCCCCTTGTTGCGCTGCATCATGCACGGCAGCAGGTAGCGCGTGAGGTTCTCAACACAACTCAAGCCAGCACATGCCTTTCTCTTGCACCACGCTCACCAGTCTTATCCACAGCACCACCACCACGTACCACGAGAATCTGCCCCTTGTTGCGCTGCATCATGCACGGCAGCAGGTAGCGCGTGAGCTCTATGGTAGCCACCACGTTGACCTCTAACATGCCCTGGAGGGGGGAGAGGGGAAAAGGAGAGAGTGCAGGACGTGGAGAAAGGGAGGTCCGGAGGGGGGAAGGACAGCAGGTAGCGCGTGAGCTCTATGGTAGCCACCACGTTGACCTCGAGCATGCCCTGATGGGGGGAGAGGGGGTACGGTGGGGGTACGGTGGGGGTACGAGAGAATGCAGGGCGCAGGGGAGTCCGGGAGGGGAAGGAGGGGGGTAGCGCGTGAGCTCTATGGTGGGCACCACGTTGATTCTAGCATGCCCTGACTGGGGGAGAGGGAAGGGGGTGTGAAAGTGGGAGGGGGAAGGGGAAACGGGAAGATACAGGCGGTAGCGCGTGAGCTCTATGGTGGTCACCACATTGACCTCTAGCATGCCCTGATGGGGGGAGAGGGGGTACAGGGGAAAGGGGAACAGGGTACGCGGGGGAAGGACAGCAGATAGTGCATGAGCTCGATAGTGGCTACCACGTTGACCTCGAGCATGCCCTGATGGGGGGAGAGGGAACGGGGGTACAAGGGGAGGACGCAGGTGCAATGTAACAAGGGAGAGAGCAAGGAGAGAGGTAGCGCGTGAGCTCGATGGTGGCGACTACGTTGACCTTGAGCATGCCTTGATGGGGGGAGACAGGATGGAGGTGACGAGAAGGGGAGTTTGCAGGCACAGGGGGAGTGCAAGTAGGTGAAGAGAGATAAAGGAGAGGGGAAGCAAGGAGAGGGACGCGAGGAGAGGATAAGGGGAGCGGGAAAGTGGATGGGGAAGGATGTGGATGCAAAAGTGAGAAATGACTTCCCACTTCCTTCTGAGAATGTTTTTGAGACGTCTCAAAAACAACCTCATTTCACGTTTTGAGACGTCTCAAAAACAACCTCATTTCACGTTTTGAGACGTCTCAAAAACAACCTCATTTCACGTTTTGAGACGTCTCAAAAACAACCTCATTTCACGTTTTGAGACGTCTCAAAAACAACCTCATTTCACGTTTTGAGACGTCTCAAAAACAGCCTCATTTCACGTTTTGAGACGTCTCAAAAACAACCTCATTTCACGTTTTGAGACGTCTAAAAAACAACCTCATTTCACGTTTTGAGACGTCTCAAAAACAACCTCATTTCACGTTTTGAGACGTCTAAAAAACAACCTCATTTCACGTTTTGAGACGTCTCAAAAACAACCTCATTTCACGTGAGAAGTGACTTCCCACTTCCTTGTGCTGTAGATTTTTTCTGAGAATTCTCACTACAGCCATTTTGAGAAAAATCTACAGCATCAGTGAGAAGTGACTTCCCACCTCCTTCTGAGAATTCTCAAAAGTGACTTCCGAATACCATGAGTAGGGAATAGTGGGAAGGTTCCATGCACCATCAGTTACCATACTATCTGTTCCATGCACTTTTGAGAAGGACGTGGGAAGTGCAAATGGCGGCAATCCTGCTGACCTGTAACGTGTACTGATGGGGATAGACAGGCGGTTCGGAGAGGAAAGATGGGGAGAGAGGAAGGTGGGGTAGGGAAGAGGAGGGGGGAAGAGGGAAGGGGGGAAGAGATGCTATTCTGTGCTCATAACGGGGCGAGAGGGCTACTCTGTGCTTATAACGGAGTGAGGAGGGTCTTACCCGGAGAGTGTCCTCTGGAGTATCTTCACATGTGAGTTTCTGCACAGGGGGGTGATGGGCGCAGTAATAGACAGAGGAGGGGAAGGAGGGGAAGGAGGGGGGAGGGGCAAGGGAGGGAGGGGTTGGGGGAAAGAGCGGGGTACAACGGCGAAGAGAGCAGGAGAGGGGAAGTGGTAGGTGTATGTGAGAAATGTGAGTGGAGAAGAAATGTGATGGCATCGTCATGAGACTTGGCGATCACAAACCAGGCGCAGACGCACTTATAAGAATTCTCAAAGGCGCAGACGCACTTATAAGAATTCTCAAAGGCGCAGATGCACGACAATCACAACCGGCACGTCAACCCCGCACGCCCCCTCCCCCTCGCACGCAAATCCCCCTCCTCTTCTCCCCATTCTCCCCCTCCCTCCCATTCCCCCGCCCCCCCTTCCCCTGCTCTCCCCTCCCCCCCCCCCCCCTCCATCCGGAGGGCGCTCTCCGCCTGCTTTTGAGTCGCCTCAGAACTCACCGGGCGCGGATGGGCGGCATTCACAACCAGCACGTCAACCCCGCTGGATTCTTCCCCCTCCCCGCGGAACGCGCTTTCCGCCTGGCGCACTGCGCCGCGCAGCACGTCCGCGCCGCCCTTGAGGTCGAACGGCAGCACCACCACCCCCTCCGGCGCGTGCTTCCCGCGGCACGTCGCGCGCACCGCCTCCAGGCGCTCCGCGGAGCGCGCGGAGAGGATCAGCCGCGCGCCCATCGCCGCGAAACGCTGCGCCAGCTCCTGCCCTGTTAGGGGGAGGGGCGCAAAGGGGGGAGTTGGGGGAGGGAGAACGGGGAAGGGGGGCGTGGGGGAACGGGGAAGGGGGGCGGGGAGGAAGAGGGGGATCGCGCGGAGGAAGTGGTCTGGGCGTCGCGCGGGGGTGTGGGTAAGGAGAGTAACGAGGGTAACGGGTTGGTTAAGGGAAGGGCGGGGAGTTGAGAGAAAGGAGGATGCGGGGTAAAGCAACTCACAGACACTATCTGACTGGTACTTAGTCTGAATCGCACTCACCGATGCCCTGGCTGGCGCCAGTGATCCACACCACCTTGTCCTCGAACGCGCCTTCGGGCGGCGCGCCCTTGAGGAGCAGCGTCAAGTCCGCTGCGGTAGCGCGAAGTGCGCGAGGAGCAGGCGATGCGCGGGAGATGCGGGGGGGATGAGTGGGGGATTGCGCGGGGATACGCGGGAGAGAAGTGGTGAAGAACCGGGGAGATGCGGGGAAGAGGACCGAGACGTGTGTCAATTTTGAAATTTCTTAAAAGCGACTCCGACGGTACGACAGACAACGCGGGTCTAGAACGAACAGATCGATCGCTACTACTGTGACCTTCGTACCGTCAGCCGTGGGAAAGGCGACAACACAGCGCATGAACAACAAGAACGCGGGGAGTAATGGGAAGCCCGTACCATCCGCGGTGAAGAATAAAACGATACGCCATATAAACAGGAAGAGCACGAGCGCCGCGGTGGCTGCGCTGGCGAGAACGACCGGATCCGACGTGTCCATGATTGTAGATAAGATCGTCAGAGCTGAATTGTCCGTAAGCGGAACACTCCGGGAGCTACCGTATAGCGTAAAGTATTATCTAATTTTATGGCGATACGTGGTACGAACTCTCAAGTTCCTCACGAGACTCGAGCGTATGATTTATTACAACTATTGATTCCCCTTTGACGTGGCTCCTTCGTAAATGGAGGTGCTTCAGTCTCTGCTGTACCGCTGGATCGAGCAGCGAGCACGGATCAAACTCACCCACCAAACAGGCTCGAACACAAGCTAAGCAGGAGGGTGCAAACTGTTTCGAGATTCCACAGTGGCTTGACGAACGGGGCATACCATGCGAAGTTTGAAGGCACAGCTCTTCCGCTCATGCGCTACTGGCGGAAACCGCCTTCCAAGCACACGTACACTCACTCCTGGGCGGGAAATATCCTGGGGAGGGCAAGCAGGGTCTCGGTCTCGGGAATCGGGATGGAGGGTGGGCGGAGGGGATCCCCCTTTCCGCGTTTCAACATCCATCACATCACATTGGTCGAGCCGCGCTGCTCTCTAGGCGCAGGTTATCTGGTTCGGCGCCGAAGCAGCTGGAAAAAGAGATTGATTCGGCTGGTTATGGTTCGGTTCGAGACTCGACGCGGACCTGCCCTGCCCAATCGAGGTCGGGTGGAGGTGCGGTGCGTGTACCCCGTGGGGACCAACACGCTAAGGAATCAAGCGCACAGCTGCGGCGGAATCAACGGGCAGTTGGGGGCGATGGGGAGACGAGTGGGTGGGAGCGAGGGTGTGTCATCCGAAGCGAGACTGATTTGTAGCGGTTCAAAACGGTGAAGTAAACTTGCCTCTCTAGAACGCACAGCATCGTAATCAACCTCTTTACATTATCAAGCATGACACGCTTCGAAGGTTCCTTGCATTTTCTTTTTGGAAAAGGGGGCTGGGGAAGGGTGTAAGAGAACGCGGGAAGGTGGGTGTGGGGGTTTCGAAGACGAGAGAAAAAGGGGAGGGCGGGCGGGACTGGGGATTGTGAATGTGGGAAACGGGGAACCCCTGATAACAGAGTTGCTTCTTTCACTGCACCCTCTAACACCTTCGAAACAAACCACACTGACCCACACTGGCATGAAACGAATCTTGCCACCGGGTGGGGAATACACACTCTTTGACTGGTTGCGATTACTTTGCGAAATTATTTCGTCGAGTTGGTTCGTCAAAAACTGCACTACTAGGGTATACCAGCTATAGAATTTCACTGTGTGGCAATTACGCGCAGCCCTCGAAACGCCATTCCAAGGGTGATTTTCTTAGTTCGTGTCCATAGGGTTGACATGTCAAGTGAGGCGTGTCAACCCGAAGCGCATTCAAATTAGAGTGTCAAACACTGTAGCTGAAGTGTCAAGTCGAAGCGCATGTGCGAACATCAGCGACGCAATTTCATTGGTTTGAGAATTTGTCATGGGTGGATCTGCCAGGTAGCGAACAATTCAAAAGACAGATTGTGTGCTGATTGGGCAGCATCTGGTCGTGAGATAGGCACCTGCGACCATCTTCTCTCGTTTGTAGGTTTGACTGTGCCAATTTAGAAAGTGTCCGACGATTTGTATTGGATGGCAACCTGCAATTTCTTGACACCCTGCCAACAATGTTGGCTGAGTGTCAAAATGCCAAATTGACACTGCCCACTTTGACATGTCATCCCTACGGACACGACCTTGCCTCCCGTGAAATGGGTGACAGCTGTTGGGTGCGGATCAAATACACGCTGCGCGTATCGTTTACACCTAGCCCGCGCTATTTTCACGCCCTGCAACTTGTTTCGGAAAGCACCCTGAACCCGATTTTGGCTTTTACCAGTAAACACCCAGAATTTATAGGCTACAAAACACTCAGACAAGTGTCGAGATATTAAAAAAAACCGAACTCTTACCATGGCGACTCGACCATAGTTTATTGTGACCCGATTTTCATCCCCTAACTCGTCAGAGATGTCTGAAACGTACTCTCTTTTAAACGAAAACATTCAAAACAGCCTTTTAATTTCGGGTAAATCAGAAATCATTACACAGGGGGGTGAAAATGGCCCTGGTGAATTTGGCGCGGGCTAGGTGTATGACGTGTCTGTCTCGAACCGTATCGCATACACAAGGCGGAAAATGAACTTGAGCATGGCCACCAAGGCGCAGGGTAACCAATCAGCAACTGGTCGAGGCTTGGGATGTCAAAACGTCAGCCACTGGTCCAATCTAGGTCGAAGCAACAGTAACGAATGGACCGATGACAACCGACATGAAATGCTCTTATATCCGCGAGCCGCAGGCCACCAACCACAAAGCAGTCCAGTTTCAGTTGCCTATAACGAACGACAAACATAATTGATCGAATGGCCTTCCCAGAGTGGCTGTACAGTATAGTGTTGCGACGATACAGTATAGCCAGTATGTCCAAACTTGACGTGTTAAGGAGAGGTACTCGTTGGTAGAGTTAAAGCATTACATTCATATGATTTGTATTTGTTTACGATAAATAATTTCTCTGTAAAAATATAATCTATATTATGCATATTATATGTTCATTCATGGAATGCAAACTAAAACCCATACTATACGTGATGTCGTCTACATGTAAAGTATACATAGGTGAAATCTCCATTGCCCGATAAGGAGTTCAACGTGCTGCCACTTTCCTTCCCCAATTCCATGAAGACCCTGCCAGCGAGCGACGCGGCATTTTCGAGACTCCTCCCAATCCCAAGGGCGTGCGCGGAAGTATCTGGGAGCGCTACGGGAGGCTCATTTTCCCCGCACCCGCGCACCCACCCACCCACCCATCCACCCATCTTCCTTCCCCCTTCCTATTGGTCAGACTTCACCCAATTTCCTTCCGCCCCCGACAGTCAATTTCTACCGCTCTCCCGTTTGTAGTAACCGACTGCAGACGTTTCAGCTGCCCATTTGGCGACCCACCGTTTATTTTCGGGCAAGCCCGCCTCACGTCCCGCACTTTACTGCGCACTGTACAGTTTGACAGAATCGGTGACGTATTCTGTTTCAGGGGCAACCGTTCCGTTTCGTTTCGTCCTCCCCGATCAAACGTGGTCTTTGCGAAAAAAAAGCGATAGCCGAACTGTGCGCTTCTGCCCACAATTCTTCAGGCCATAGCTCTTCCGCCTACAGTTTTCCGCATATACACTGTAGCTTTCCAAGCCAAACCGGGATGTTTCCGCGGACAGCCTTCCGCCTCTACACTCAAATGGGACCTTCAAAAACGGTCACCACACCACCACGCAAGTCGTCTCCTTCATATCGGGCATCCTCCAACGTCCTGTTTGATTCCTCCGAGTATCTACGCAGCATTGCTCTGATTCCGCTTCCTTGGCGCTAGCATATTCCACATCCTTGCATACTTCGGCCTAATAATTCCTCTGGGAACTCTGCTCCTCCGCTTACCGTGTAGATCGTGCACTATCACTGGAAAGCGTTACGTTGCCTCGCTTAGTCATAGGAGCGGGCTCTTGTTTTGTTTAGTGGAATTGAGGTCTTAGGAGCAGATGAGATGTGCTCTCGAATTATAAGACGACTGGCTCATCTTTACAATTTCCCGTCGATGTTTGAAGCCGAGCTTGACCACGCATAGTTTAAGTGGGGAAGGACCTAGAAACAAAAAATTCTGTAGTATTTTCGCAAGCCTGGTACATTTGTAAGTCGTAGAAATAAGCATAGACCAGCGGTACACGGACAGTTCAGGCCAATTTTGCAGGCATTGTCTAGGTCAGAAAGGAGTTATTGCTTCCCGTATTTATTCACTGACACAGCGACTGACGCCACGCCACGAGCACTGCTATTATATTACTGACCGAACGCTAGGTTAGGAACTACTAGGGAACCAGCAGCATGGGCTCGTGCCTGTCGAAGAGCAAGGAGCGGCCGCCTGACGCGTCCAAAGCACCGCCAGCCGGTGCCGACGCAACTCAGACGGCTCCGGCTGCCGTGCACGCGAAGCCGGCAAGTACAGATGAAGTGAAAGCTGCCGGACCGTCAAGTCCAGGAAAAGACGGCAATGAGGGTTCACATGGAGTGGGAGGAGCAGCAGCGGGAGGCGCGGAAGCAGCAGGAACAGCAGGAGGGGCAGCACAGGGGGAAGGAACAGCAGCAGGATCAGATGCAAATGCGAGTATACCAACAGGAACATCAGCGGGGAAAGAAGCGGAAAATAACTCAAGTACTACAACCGCAGTCGACGGAGCCGCGTTACAATTCGCGAAGTACGACAAGAACGACACGACTATTCCGTTAGGGTTGCGCACGGACTTCGGATATAAACGAGACTTTGAGGCACACTATAAGCTGGGCAGGGAGCTGGGTCACGGGCAATTCGGCACGACTTACGAGTCGATTCAACTAGCCACCGGCGAGCGGGTGGCAGCAAAGGCTATCGAAAAGAAGCAGGTGCGTACGACGCGACAGGTGCTTGTAACGAAGCAGGTGCGTAGAACGGGAGTGAAAGAAGCAAGTTAGGTCACGGGCAATTCGGCACGACTTACGAGTCGATTCAACTAGCCACGGGCGAGCAGGTGGCAGCGGAAGCGATCGAGAAGAAGCAGGTGCGTATGACGAGGCAGGTGCTTGTAACGAAGCAGGTGCGCAGAGCGAGAGATGACGCTGCCCCCCTTCCCCCCTCTCTCCCCCCCCCCCCCCCCCCCCCCCCCCTTCTCCCCCCCTTCCCCCCCCCCCCCCCCCACCTTCTCCCCGCTCACAGATGAAGCTGCCTATAGCAGTGGAGGACGTGCGGAGGGAGGTGGCGATTATGAAGCTGCTGTCGGGCCATCCCAACGTGGTGCAGTTCATAGACGTGTTTGAGGACACCGACTTTGTCTACATCTGCATGGAGTGAGTGCACTATAACGGGTACGGAGTGACGCTATAGTGGGTATGGAGTGTACTGAGGTGGTTATAATGAAGCTGCTGCCTGGCCATCCCAACGTGGTGCAGTTCATTGATGTGTTTGAGGACACCGACTTTGTGTACATCTGCATGGAGTGAGTTCTTATAGCGGGTATTGAGTGATAGCACTATAGCGGGTATAAAGTGTACTGAGGTGGCGATAATGAACCTGCTGTCGGGCCATCCCAACGTGGTGCAGTTCATTGACGTGTTTGAGGACACCGACTTTGTGTACATCTGCATGGAGTGAGTGCACTATACTATAACGAGTATGGGGTGTATTGAGGTGGCGATAATGAAGCTGCTGTCGGGCCATCCCAACGTGGTGCAGTTCATTGACGTGTTTGAGGACACCGACTTTGTGTACATCTGCATGGAGTGAGTGCACTATACTATAACGAGTATGGGGTGTATTGAGGTGGCGATCATGAAGCTGCTGTCGGGCCATCCCAACGTGGTGCAGTTCATTGACGTGTTTGAGGACACCGACTTTGTGTACATCTGCATGGAGTGAGTGCAGTATACTATAACGAGAATGGGGTGTATTGAGGTGGCGATCATGAAGCTGCTGTCGGGCCATCCCAACGTGGTGCAGTTCATTGACGTGTTTGAGGACACCGACTTTGTGTACATCTGCATGGAGTGAGTGCAGTATAGCGGGTATGGAGTGTAGTGGGGTACAGTTTGTCAACAAAGTTCGAAGGCGACTATTTTGTGTTGCATTTGTATGGCGTGAGTGCACTTTAAACGCATAATTCACAGTATATCTCTGCTCTCGTTCTCCCCATCCTCTCATGTCATTCCCACCGCCCCTCCCTTCTCTCCTCTTCTCTCTCCCCCCAAGCTGCTCACTCTCTTTCACTCCTGACTGCTCCTTTCCCCTCTCTTCCCCATCATCTCCTGATCACTCCTCTCTTCCTCTCCTCCGAATCCTCACCCCCCATCCGCTCACCCTCCCCTCTCTTACCCCGTGGCAGAATCTGCGAGGGTGGAGAACTCCTCGACAGAATTCTGAGCAAGTAAGCTCGGGGGACAGAAGTATTAGGGCTGTGGGTGGGTAGGAAAGTAGAATTTCAAGGGGAAGGAAAACAAAGAGGAGGGTGCAGGGGACCGATATGGGGTTTGAGACAACCAATGGGAGGGATGGGGGTTGGAAATGGGATGGGTATGGGGATGGGAAAGGGGAGTGAGATGTGGAATGGAGTTTGGGATTCGGGATTGAAGTCAACTGTATATTTGGAAGCATGCATCATGAGCAGTTATGATTGATTGTATCAGCATGCTAACTGTTTCATTTCGTCTTCCCCCTCTCTCCCTCCCCCTCCCCCTCCCCCTCCCCCTCCCCCTCCCCCTCCCCCTCCCCCTCCCCCTCCCCTCCCCTCCCCTTCCCCTTCCCCCCTTCCCCTTCCCCTCCCCTCCCCTTCCCCCACTCCCACCCACCCCCTTTTGTTTTGCGCTTTTTTTTCTCCTTCTAATGCGAGCAGGCGTGAGAACTGGTATTCGGAGAAGGATGCAGCAGGGGTGGTGCGGCACATGCTGAGCGCCGTGGCCCTCACCACCCCCGCCCACCAACACCCCTCCCCCCTTCTGTTCCCTGTTCCTTTTCCAACGCGAGCAGGCGTGAGAACAGGTATTCAGAGAAGGATGCGGCAGGGGTGGTGCGGCAGATGCTGAGCGTGGTGGCCAAGTGCCACCTGCACGGGGTCGTGCACCGCGACTTGAAGCCTGAGGTGAGAGAGAGGGGCGTGGATTGGAGAGATGGAGGGAATGGAGGGGATGGAGGGGATGGAGGGGATGGAGGGGATGCAACAAGACATGAGATGCACAATGCGCTGAGCGTGGTGGCCAAGTGCCGTCTGCACAGTGTCGTGCACCGCGACTTGAAGCTTGAGGTGAGAGGGAGGGGCGGGCATAAAAGGGAGAGATGGAGGGGATGGACGGGTTGAAAGCCAGAGGAGCATTAGGCGCGCTCCACACCACAGCATGTTGAGAGTCGTGGCCAAGTGCCACCTGCACGGTGTTGTTCATCGCGACTTAAAGCCTGAGGTGAGAGAGAGGAACTGCAGCGAGACATGAGAGATGCAGCAAGACGAGAGGAGCACAACGTGCTGAGCGTGGTGGCCAAATTGCCAACTGCACAGCGTTTTCTCATTCCTGCCTTCTCCCCCTCCCTTAACCCCTCCCTCCCTCCCCTTTCCCCCCTCCTTCCTCCACTATTTCTCCTTGCTTTTCCCTCCATCCATCCTCTGTCACCTTCCCAATCCCTCGTCTTCCTTCCTTATCTCACCTCCTTCATCTCCCTCCAACCCACCCACCCCCACCCCCCCTCTCTCCCTCCCTCCCCCCCTTTCTGCTCTCCCTCTGCGCCCTTTCAGAACTTTCTCTTCAAGTCCAAGGCAGAGGACTCGCTCCTTAAAGCCACCGACTTTGGCCTCTCGGACTTCAGAAAACCTGGTGAGTGCTGTTAGCGTATGTGGTTAGAGCAGTGCCATGTGCAGTGCCTGCTACGTCGCTTGTGAGGTGCTCAAACGCAATAAATTCCTTTCCGTACGCAACCCTTCCTGCCCCCCTCTTCCGCCCTCTCCCCCCTCTCCCCCCAAAGGCAAGCACTTCACGGACGTGGTTGGCAGTGCCTACTACGTGGCTCCAGAGGTGCTCAAGCGGCGGTCGGGACCAGAGAGTGACGTGTGGAGCATCGGGGTTATCACATATATCCTGCTGTCTGGGAGGCGGCCATTCTGGGATAGAACGGAGGCAGGGATCTTCAACGAGGTGAGGAGAGGTGAAGAGCAGTGAGGGGGATGAGAGAGGGGATAAAAAGAGGGGAGAGTGTTGTGTGGAGCATCGGTGTCATCACCTACATTCTGCTGTCGGGAAGGCGGCCATTCTGGGATAGAACGGAGGCAGGGATCTTCAATGAGGTGAGGTGGGGTGGAGAGCGGTAGGGGAGAATGCAGGAGAGGGGTGCTCAAGCGGCGGTCGGGACCGGAGAGTGATGTGTGGAGCATCGGCGTCATTACCTACATCCTGCTATCAGGGAGGAGGCCATTTTGGGATAGAACGGAGGCAGGGATCTTCAATGAGGTGAGGAGGGGAAAGAGTGGTTGGGGGAGAATGGGGGAGGGTGGTGGAGAGGAATGAGTAGGAGGTGAGAGAGAGAGGGAGAGTGACGTGTGGAGCGTCCGCATCATCACATTCATCCTGCTGTCAGACCGACGGCTGTTCTGGGATAGAACCAAGGCGGGGATTTTCAACGAGGTGAGGAGGGGAGAGGAAAGTGGTAGAAAGGAAACCTAAGAAGTCTTCTAGCCATTCCTTACCGCCCATCACCTCACTTCACCACTCTTCAGGTGCTGAAGAGTGCCCTGACTTCAGGGAGAAGCCATGGCCGCACGTGCCATCCAGCGCCAAGGACTTACTCCTCATCATCATGTGACCCCTTCCCCCCATCACCATCCATCACCGCTCTTCACCACTCACCAGGTGCTGAAGAAGCGGCCTGACTTCAGGGAGAAGCCATGGCCGCATGTGCCATCCAGCGCCAAGGACTCTATTTCCCAGCACCATGTCCCAGCTGTGCTCATCCTCACCACTCATCACCGCTCCTAACTCACTTGACTGCTCCTTACCGCTCCCCACCACTCATCACCGCTCATGATGACTTACCAGGTGCTGAAGAAGCGGCCTGACTTCAGGGAGAAGCCATGGCCGCACGTGTCATCCAGCGCCAAGGACTTTGTGAAGAAGCTTCTCAAGAAGGACCCCCGCGCGCGACCCACTGCCGCCCAGGCCTTGTGTGAGTGAAGTCGCTGGCTGCTAGATGTGCATTGTGCGAGTGAGTGCATGTGCATCCTTTGAGCGGAGAGCACTAAACTGCACGTGTCATCCAGCGCAAATGCCTTTGTGAAGAAGCTTCTCAAGAAGGACCCTCGCGCTCGACCCACTGCCGCCCAAGCCTTGTGTGAGTGCACGTGTTGCTGCTAGATGTGCTTTTCGAGTGTGCTTTTAAACAGCCTGTGACTGCCTCGATTGTCCTCTCCCCTTTTCCACCTCTCCTCCCTCCCACCCGTTTCAGCACACAAGTGGGTGAAGGAGGGGGCGATGCATCATCCGTCCCACTGGACATAGCAGTGCTGTCCAACCGCCCCTGAAAGCCTCCCTTCCTCCTCTCCCCTGTTTCCCTTCCCTCCTCCCACACACTCACTGCCTTTCAGCGCACAAGTGGGTGAAGGAGGGAGGAGATGCATCATCTGTGCCACTGGACATAGCAGTGCTGTCCAACATGCGGGAGTTCGTCAAGTACTCACGTCTCAAGCAAATGGCGCTCAAGGTGAGAGGGGAGGCAGGCAGGCACGCACGCACACACATGCACACAGGTATGATGGTTAAGGCGAGCTTGTCAAGTACTTGCGGCTCAAGCAGATGACGCTCAAGGTGAGAAAGGGCACGCACAAATGCGTGCACCCATGCAGGCAGGAGCAGGTGAGGGGGGGCAGACAGGATCGCAGGTATTGAGGGACCAGCTCAACTCTGCCCTGCTCGATCCTCTGCTTCTTCCTTCCTGCTCCCCATCTCCACCACCCCACACCCTCCCGCCCACGCTCTCCCTTCCTCCCCTGCGTCCCCACAGGCCCTGGCGACAACACTGGAGGATGGGTTTTCATCATGTCTCTTCCTCTCCTTTTTACCCCTTCCCTCCGCCCTCCACATCCTCCCCGCCCACACTCTCCCTTCCTTCCCTGCGTCCCCACAGGCCCTGGCGACAACACTGGAGGAGAATGAGGTGCAGGCTTTAAGGGATCAGTTCAATGCGATGGATATAAACAAGGATGGCACCATCACGATCGATGAGATCAGACAGGTGAGGTGGGAGGGATGGGGTGAGGGAGAGGGGAGACAGAGCTGAGCTGTAATGCTCCCATGCAGGCGTTGAGAGGTCAGTTCAATGCGATGGATATAAACAAGGATGGCACCATCACGATCGATGAGATCAGACAGGTGAGGTGGGGGGGGGAAGTGGTGGAGGGCAGGCGGAGGGATAACGGAAGGGGGAGAAAGGGGAGAGAAGAAAAGGGGGAAGAAGGGAGGTTGGTTACGATGGTCACGACCTGCCATTTGAAGTCAACAAAGTAAACCTCCCGTCTCACTCCCCATGCTCTCTGTTCACTTCCCCTACACTTCACACACCCTCTCCCTTCTCTCCACTCTCCTCTCCCTTGTCTTCTCTGTCCCCTTATCAGGCACTAAGTCACGACCTGCCATTCGAAGTGAAGGAGTCGAGAGTGCTGCAAATTCTCCAAGCGGTGAGTACACGCCTCTCCGGTGTGAGAGGTTGCCTGGGGATGTTATTCTAAGCCTAGCCTGTGAATGCATTTTGAGACGTCTAAAAAATTCACTCTCTACACGTGGCTCCAAGCGGTGAGTACACGCCTCCCCGGTGTTGAGAGGTTGCCAGGATGTTATTCTAAGCCTAGCCTGTGAAGACCCATGCCTTTCGTGGTCTGAGACAAGAGGTACCTCAGAAGGAGCCGAGAGTGCTGCAGAACCTCCTACCAGTGTGTACACTCCTCCCTGGTTTGAGAGATTACCTTGGCTCTACTTTGAGCCTTGCCTCTCAACTCCCGTGCCTTTCATGGTGGCCACACTGCACGTGCAGCAGCTGGAGGAGGCCGATTGCGCCAAGTGGCAGTAGCACCACTCATCCTCTACCCAAACTTCCCCTTTCCCAACCTGCTTGCCACTCATATGGACACCGACTGTGGCAAAATCATCGATTTCGATGAGTTTGTGCTGGCCTCAGTGCACGTATAGCAGCTGAGGTGGAGGAGGCCGACTCTGCCAAGTGGCAGGGGCGATCTCACACATTTCCCCCGTCTGCTCCCAACGCTCCTCCCTTTCTCCCCAGATGGACACCAACTGCGACGGCATTATTGACTTTGACGAGTTTGTGGCGGCAACGCTGCACGTGCAGCAGCTGGAGGAGGCCGACTCCACCAAGTGGCAGGAGCGCTCTCGGGCCGCCTTTGCACAGTTTGACCGCGACAACGACGGGTACATTGACGCTGAAGAGCTGCGCATGGTGAGTGAGGGGCTGTGTGCGGTACAGGTGTTGTGCTGGCACCCTCTCAGTTTGACCGCGACAACGATGGGTGCGTAGATGAGGAGGAGCTGCACATGGGGAGTATTGGGTGTGAGCTGAGTGCTCGAACCCGAGTATGGTACAGGTGTTACGCACCCTTTCAGTTCTGGCTGACCGTGACAGCGACGGGTGCATCGATGCGGAGGAGCTTCGCATGGTGAGGCCAAGGTTCCTTGCTCGCCCATAATTCAAGGCAAGCACATCCTCGCTTCTCCTTCCCACATTTTCCCACCTTGTAAATACCCCAGGCTGCCCAGGTTAATTTCCCGCTGGATAACTTGATAGCAGAAGCCGACACGGACGGAGACGGTCGAATCAGCCTTCCTGAGTTCCAGAAGCTTTTGAGATGCGCGAGCATTAATTCCCGCACCAACACGTCTCGCTCCCGGGGTCGATCCTGGCTCGGCCAAACCATCGACGAGTAGTAAGCCACTGGCCAAGGAACTTTACACTAGATATGGACTACTATGAGGAAAGGGCATGCTGCTGAACTAGGAGTAAATCTTGTTATTGGTCCAAATAGTACACTAACAGATTGCTGATTTGTAGTGATGCAATTACCTGTTACCATGTAGTTGCCTTAATTGTGTATCGGTGTTCTCTGTGGCTGATATGTTTTCCGTTGGAGTTTGGGATATTTCATTTCACTTGTCCAGTATTTTAGTTCACATTCGATAAAACTCCGATTGGCGTAAAGCTAGCCAGGTTCTGCTGATTGGCAGCTGGGATTCAAATGGAACGTCTTTTAGCTGACCAGGCATCTGATTGATGTTCCAGGTATGCTTTGTCACTACACGTGGCACTCGGTAATTGCGCTGTTAAACTGACTTTGCGTTACCATCACACTTCGTCTAGCCTAATCGGCTCGCAGGGCACCAAGGATTTTCTCGCGAATGAGATCGATGAAGCGCTGCGATCACTTTGGTTACGCCAAATCTGTTCGTGAATGTACGTGATCAGCAACAGCTCGCAATTTGTACGTCGCTTACGTATTTTCCACCAGAGCATCCCCGACGGCCAGATTGTTTCGGCCATAGCTGCTTCCCTCGGCGTACTAGGTTCTGCCACGTCGCTCGTGCAATGCCTGATTTCGTGATTCCTGAATCCCTAAAAATTGCATTGTTGCGGCTTCATGGCTGTCGAGCTTTGGGACATCTCGCGACTTGGTAGTAGCCCACTCTGGAGCACATTGAAATAAGCGTAAACTACTTCACACGGTCCCTCCTGCTTTAGCAGTACTCTCCCCTCCCCTCCACCTTCCGAGTCGGCTCAGGAATCAGGACTTCCCCGTTGGCAGCGGTAGCTTTGAGGATTCTCAAGAGAGATTGCGGCCCTCAGTTCTCGCCATGGCGGTCGTAGTGGCTCGTACCGCCAACGCCGCGCCGCTGATTCGGGCAGCAGAGAGGATTTTCAAGCCCAGAGCACATGCACAAGCACAGTCGCGGTCTGTACAATGGAGTGTCAAGTCTAAGTCGCAGACACAGGCTGGAGGTGCGGCAACGCAGGCGTCGCAGGCGTCGCACACGTCTCGAGCGTCGCATGCACCCCTCGTGTGCTCTCGCAGCAGTAGCAGCGCCGTGGCGGCGTGTCGAATCAGCAAGGCGCATCGATTCGCGACCCAGTCTCCAGCTCCTCACCAACACCTCCGCTCCGCGGGAATCAGACTTTTCTCCTCACTGCCCGTTCGAACCTCGGGCAGGCTCCGCACGTCTTTTTCCTGCCCGTTTTTGAGAAATCACAAAAACAGCTCTGTGTCGGCTCCACGGTCATTAGTTCCCCACCAGAAGCAGGAGCTCTCAGGGATTCGCACTTGCAGCGATTTTTCTGTGTCGTTCATAACGGGGACGCCTGTAGCGGGCGCGAGGGCCGGCGCGCGCAGGCGTGCTAGTATCCGATGTCACAGTAGCGCAGGGCGTGGTGGTCCAGATGGCGGTCGCGCTGGGGATTCCGCTGCTGGTGGAGTGGATTGTGTTACTAATGCGGGGGAGGGTGAAACGAAGGCGAGAGGGAGTGGACATGGGCATGAGGAGGGGCAGGATGATCATGGGAATGGGCATGGGCATGGGCATGGGCATGGGAAGGAGAATGAACGGCGCGAGCTAGGGGCTGGTCACGCTGCTGCAACGAGCCATGCACATGCTGCTGATATGCACAACCATGATCACCATGATCATCATGATCATCATGGCCATCATGACCACCATGAGCATCATAATCATCATGACCATCATACTCATGATCATCACGAGGAGCATCATCATCATGAGCACCGTAGCCATGCTCACGACCACAGCAACCATGACAAGGATGAGCGTCATAGCCATGCGCATAGCCATGCTCACAACCATGCCCATAACCACAACCATGATCATGACCATGCCCACAGCCATGACAACAACCTTGCCCATGCCCATTCCCATGCCCACAACCACACCCATGACAACCACAGTCATTCTCATGCCCACACTCATGCCCATGCCCACAACCACAGCCATTCGCATGCCCACACCCATGACCATTCCCACGGCCACCATCACCACCACCACTGCTGCCCCGCGCCCGCCTCCCTCAACACCGCCCAGCGCGCCCTCCTCTCGCTCTTCTCCTTCCTCCGCCTCGCTCCTCTGGCCGACCGCATGAGGGAAAGCGCGCCCCTCGCCTCGCTCTCCCTCGCGCTCTGCCTTGCCGCATACGCCGTGCCGCTGCTCGTGCCGCTCGCTGTCCAGATGCAATCCCAGCCGTTGCTGGTGCAGATGCTGCAGACGGGGCTTGTTGCTGCCGCCCTCCCCCTCACTGCTGTAAGCTTCTCTCCGTGACTCTTATCTCACAATCTCACAACCTCACTCTCTTGCTGAATGAGTCTGCTCTTATCTCATTCCTCGGTAAATGCACACACCCCATTCCCACCGGCCCACTTCTTCTGTAAGTAAACTTTATTTAAACCGGCTCACCCCTCTCCACCCCCCCAGATCCCAGCAACCATGGATGCATTGGTGGACATAGCAGGCGGCGCAGTGAACATTCACGTGCTCATGACCGTCGCAGCACTGGCGTCATGCGCTGGTGCAGCGCACTGCTCAGGTGTTCCCCATTTCCTCCTCTTGCCACCCCTCTCCACCTCTCCAGATCCCAGCAACCATGGACGCGCTAGTGGACATAGCAGGCGGCGCAGTGAACATTCACGTGCTCATGGCGGTGGCAGCACTGGCGTCAGTGGCCATGGGGAACGCGCTGGAAGGGACCCTACTCCTTGCCATGTTCTCCATCTCCCATATAGGTACGCTTCTATACTCCTTATAGGTGCAGGATGATACCATGTATAGGAGTGAACATTCGCGTGCTCATGACGGTGGCAGCACTGGCATCAGTGGCCATGGGGAATGCGCTCGAGGGCACTCTGCTGCTCGCCATGTTCTCCATCTCCCATATAGGTGCGCTGCAGTAGCCCATATAGGTGCGCTGCGATACCCCATATAGGTGCGCTACAGTACCCCATATAGGTGCGCGCCTCAATTCCCACACTGAAGCAGGAAGGGCACCACAGCAGCATACACGTGCTCATGGCGGTGGCAGCACAGGCTTCAGTGGCCATGGGATATGCGCTGGAAGGGACTCTGCTGCTCGCCATGTTCTCCATCTCCCATATAGGTGCTCCTCAGTTTCCCGTATAGGTGCTCGCCGTATAGGTGCTCAACCTATTCTCCATCTCCCGTCTCCTATGTAGATATGTGTGTGGTTAGTAGTAATACATTGGTACCACAATTTCCCATACTGATATAGGAAGGGCACCACAGCAGCTCTCTACCACCATTCTTCATCCCCTCGCCCACCCACCCAACCACCCACCCACTCACCCTTTCACCCGCCTACCTTCCCACCCATCCATCAGCGGAGCATTATTTCACGGAGAAGGCTTTGGGCGATCTGCGCTCTTTGCAGGACAACAACCCCTCCACTGCTCTCCTCATCGACCCCTCCTGCCTATCTTTTCCCTTTGTACTTCCCATTTATCTTTCCCTCCGCTCCCTGTCCATCCATCAGCGGAGCATTATTTTACTAAAAAAGCTCTGTGCGACCTTCGCTCCTTGCAGGACAACAACCCCTCCACTGCCCTCCTCATTGACCCATCCTGCCTCTCCCCATCCCCTTCCGCTTCCCCTTCCCACCCTCTCCCTTCCCCACACCCTTCCTTTCCTGCCCCCCTCTCCCCACCCATCCATCAGCGGAGCATTATTTCACGGAGAAGGCTCTGGGCGATCTTCGCTCCTTACAGGACAACAACCCCTCCACTGCCCTTCTCATTGACCCCTCCTGCCTCTCTTCTGTGGGTGCTGCTGCTGGTCCTTCTGAAAACGGTGGTATTAGCGGCAGCAACAGTAGTAGCAATGGCAGCAGCAGCAGCAGCAGCAGCGGCGGCGGCGGTGGAAGTGGAGGGAGGGAAGGCGGAGTGGGGGGGTTTCCAGGGTTGGCTGCTCTCTCCTGGTCGGAGGTTCCTGTAGCTGAAGTGCCGGTGGGGGCCATGGTGCTGGTTAAAGCAGGAGAGGTGAGTGCTGGGAATGAAGGGTGGAACAGTGGTGAGGTAGATGGGAAACCGACCAGTGTACGTCTCTAGGAGCTTCAAAATGGGCTGTTTGCTCGTTCATGGTCGGAGGTTCCAGTAGCAGATGTGCCTGTGGGAGCTATGGTGCTGGTTAAAGCAGGAGAGGTGAGTGCTTGCTGGATGATAGGGGGTTGCTGCTGGGGTGAACAACATAGCACCTCGCTGGGAGATATGACCGGCGAAGCGCACCCTGCTGCACCGCATTGTAAAGCCAAAGTTCTCACCCCTCTCGTCCTCTCTCTCCTCCCCCACCCAACAACTATTCCCCTCTTCAGGTGGTCCCTCGGCACCGTCCGTTTTGGCCGCTCCCTAGTCACCACAGAGCACCTCACCAGGGAAGCCCACCATTTGATATGCACTTCTTTTCCCCCTATACTGCTCCTGCTGCTGTTGCTCCTCCCCCCTCAGGTCGTCCCTCTGGACGGCACCGTCCGGTTCGGCCGCTCCCTCGTCACCACAGAGCACCTCACAGTGTGATGTGCGCCAAGCACCCCACTAGAAAGCCATTGCCCCCACTCTCCTCCTCTCTTCTCCCCCATCTTATTCCACCCCCCTCTCAGGTCGTCCCTCTAGACGGCGCTGTCCGGTTCGGCCGCTCCCTAGTCACCACCGAGCACCTTACCAGTTGATATACACCGGGTGATTTGCACTTCTTTCCCCATATACTGCTCCTGCTGCTGCTGCTCCTCCCCCACCTCCCCCCCCCTTCAGGTGGTCCCTCTAGACGGCACCGTCCGCTTCGGCCGCTCCCTCGTCACCACAGAGCACCTCACCGGCGAGGCGCACCCCGTCGAGAAGCTTCCCGGAAACTCCCTCCCGGGCGGCTCGCGCACCGTCGACGGCTTCCTCGTCGTGGAAACTTCCCGGAAATGGTCCGAGTCCACCGTGGCTCGCATAATGCAGCTGACAGAGCAAGCCAGATCCCAAAAACCCCCTCTCCAGCGCTGGCTGGATAAATTCTCCGAGAAATACAGTCAAGCAGTGGTGGGGTTATCAGTGGGAGTGGCTGTGCTGGGCCCGGTGCTGTTCGGCTGGCCGTTTTTGAGCTCGCCAGGGGTGCGAGGGTCGCTGTATCGGGCACTGGCAGTGATGGTGGCGGCATCGCCGTGTGCTCTCGCTGTTGCTCCCCTCGCCTACTTCTGCGCTCTTACGGCTTGCGCAGGCAAGGTGAGACTCTCTAGAAGCCGTAACAGCTCTAGAATTGGTGTTGAGTTGAGCTCGCCAGGGGTGCGGGGGTCGCGGTATCGGGCATTGGCAGTGATGGTGGCGGCATCACCCTGTGCGCTCGCTGTCGCTCCCCTCGCCTACTTCTGTGCTCTTACAGCGTGTGCTGCCAAGGTAAGGCGCTGCCTAACTGGTTGTGCAGTGTGGTGCTGGCCGGTGCTCAGCTCGCCAGGGGTGCGGGGGTCGCTGTATCGGGCACTGGCAGTGATGGTGGCAGCGTCGCCCTGTGCCCGGCGTTTGACAAGACCGGCACCCTCACCACCGGCCAACTCGCTCGTCGTCCCTCTCCTCCCTCTCCCTCTCCCTGTCTACTTTATTCCTGTCTTCCCCTCCTAAGGGAATTCTCCTAAATGGCGGCCATGCCCTGGACGCCACAGCAGCATGCGACACAGTGGCCTTTGACAAGACCGGCACCCTCAGCACCGGCCACCTCGCCCTTCCTCCCTCTTCCTGTCCCTCTCTTTCCCCCATCAGGGAATTCTGCTGAAGGGCGGCCGTGCCTTGGATGCCACAGCAGCATGCGACACAGTGGCCTTTGACAAGACCGGCACGCTCACCACCGGCCAACTCGCCCTCCCTTCTCCTCTCCTCCCTTCTCTTCTCCTCCCTTCCTCTCCGCCCTTTTCTCCTCTCCTCCCTTGCTTCCTATCAACCAGGGCATTCTCCTGAAGGGGGGACACGCCTTAGACGCCACAGCAGCGTGCGACACAGTGGCCTTTGACAAGACTGGCACCCTCACCACTGGCCAACTCGCCCTTCGCTTCATCCAACCTCTGCACTCCCACGCACCGCACACCACTCCCTCCCTTCTCACACCTGACTCCGCACCTTCCTCTCCCTCCTCCTCCACCTCCTCTCCCTTCTCCTCCTCCTCCTCCTCCTCCTCCCCCTCCTCCTTCCTCTCCTTCATCTCCCCATATCGTTGGGAGTGAGAGACTTTGGGAGGACTGTGCACTGGAGGGGACAGGGGGGGTGCGCAGTCACAGTCACGAGTGGGAGGAGACAGGCGTGGTGGTGGAGTGTAGCAGTGCGAGCTGTGAGGCGGAGGCGCTTGCAGTGGCTGCTGCACTAGAGCAAGCCGCGACCCACCCCATTGCCAGGTATGATCAGGTGGGAGTGGGTGGACCGTAAGTTAGTCTAGAACAGTCGCCGGGAACTAAAAGAGGCAGGAGTGGTGGTGGAGTGCAGCAGTGCCAGCTGTGAGGCGGAGGCGCTGGCTGTGGCTGCTGCATTGGAGCAAGCCGCTACCCACCCCATTGCCAGGTGCGTTGGGTGTGAGTATGGTTGACGGCGGTTTTGGTTAGAACATTTCCAGTGCACTGCAGTGGGAGGGGAGGAGACAGGGGTGGTGGTGGAGTGCAGCAGTGCCAGCTGTGAGGCAGAGGCACTCGCAGTGGCTGCTGCACTGGAGCAAGCCGCCACGCACCCCATTGCCAGGTGCGTTGGAAGAGGAGAATGGGGTGATAGCGGTTTAGTCTAGCGGTTGAGTCTAGCGGTTAAGTCTAGAACATTCCCAGTGGATCGGCTGCAGCTGGTGCCTGCCGGGATGAGAGCTCACCCCCCCTGTTTCTGCTTTTTTATTCCCTGCGTTCTCCCTGCAGAGCTCTACAGGAATACGCAGACAGCAGACGTGCTACGCTAACTGGAGTGAACGTGGATCAGCTACAGCTGGTGCCGGGGTGCGGGCTCACATCCCCCTCTCCCCCTCTCCCCGCCCTTTTTCCCCACTCTCTTTCCCTTCTTGCAGGGCTCTCCAGGAGTATGCAGATAGCAGGAGAGCTACGCTAACTGGAGTAAATGTGGATCAGCTGCAGCTGGTGCCGGGGCGATGGCTCACCCAAGGCTCACGCATATCTTGCCCCGTTCTTTTCAGCCCCTTCTTTCTTCCCTCCTTCACAGGGCCCTACAGGAATACGCGGATAGCAGGCGAGCCACTCTCACCGGGGTGAATGTGGATCAGCTGCAGCTGGTGCCGGGGCGAGGGCTCACTGCTACCATCTCCAGCATGCCTGGCGAGGTGGGTGCGATGGGTGCAGTGCGGTCCAAAGGTGTGTTGTCATATGTAATGCGGTGCATTGCGGTGCTGAGTGATGAACGCAGACAGCAGGCGGACCACTCTCACGGGAGTGACCGTGGATCAGCTGCAGCTGGTGCCGGGGTGAGGGCTCACTGCCACCATTTCTAGCTGGCGAGGTGAGTGGGTGCAGTGCGGTGCAGAGCAGTGTGGTACGGTTTTTCTGCTCTCTCCTGTTTTCTGCTTTCCTCTCGCTTGTTACTTTTACCGTCCAGCACCGATTTCCATTGCCCATCACCTCTCTCCACCACTTGATGAATGTGAATACATTCTCCTCCTATTGCTTTGCTCTCCCACTCCCCACCTTCTCGGCCAATCACAGAGCGACAAGTGGGGCCCGCACGAGGCTCGCATAGGCTCTCTGGATTTCATTGCTGAGGTGGCAGAAGATCACTGGGCCAGCAGAGCAGCAAAAGCAGGACGGGACAGCGACAGAGAGACGTCAGCGCAAGCATCAGCAGCTGCCCAATCAACAGTCGCCACATCACCAGCACCACCCCAACCACTCTCACCCCTCTCACCACTCGCACCACCCCCAACCCTCCCCCCAAGCGACCTAATCCGAGCCGCTCTTGCCGTGGGGCAAAAAGTAACCCTTTTCCACTTCGAAGACCAGCTTCGGCCCGGAGCTAAAGAAGTGGTTCGGCAACTGCAGGATCAGGGAGGCCTGAGAGTCCGAATGCTCACTGGGGATCATGCAGCTTCGGCACACAGGGTGGCGGCTGCAGTGGGGATAGAGGGAGGGGAGGTGGAGGCGGGGTTGAGGCCTGAGGATAAGCTGAGGGCGGTTGAGGAGATGACTGGGAGGATGGGGAGGGAGGGGAGGGGAGGCGTGCTGATGGTGGGGGATGGGATTAACGACGCTCCTGCTCTTGCTACTGCCACGGTAAGTTCCCTCAATGGCGTTTGTGAGCGTAGGTGTGATTCGAGTCTGCTTGAAATAGTGAGGTGCTGATGGTGCAAGTGTAGGTGTGTTTCGAGTCAGCATTGCGTGCTGATGGTGGGGGATGGTTTTATCGGCCCGCCTTGTCGAAATTCGTTAATGTCAAATCACAATCACCGTTGCTTGCCCCACATTCCTTTGTGTCACATTCCTCCTTGTCACATTCCTTTGTGCCACGTACACGGCAGGTGGGGGTGGTGCTGGCAGAGAGGGCAAGTGCAACAGCAGTGGCAGCAGCAGACGTGCTTCTATTGAAGGACAACATTTCTGAGCTCCCGTTCCTGGTGGCCAAGGCTCGCCAAACCACCCTCATTGTAAGAACAATATAGTCCCCAAATCATTTTTTATGTTTATGGAACAATCAAAAGAGAAGGGAAACGAAGACGCGAAGTTGCTGAATGTGCTCCTACGCGGCCTTTCCTCCAACCCCGTTCTTGGCCTTGCGCATGCTGTTGCTCACACCAGGTGAAGCAGAGTGTGGCTCTCGCACTCACATGCATTCTGCTCATGCTCCTGCCAGTACTTTCCTCCTCTTTTGGCAGCATCTTCATTTTTGGGTCTCCTCTCTAACACCCTTTTTGTCCCTGCCCTTCGATGTCTCCGTGTGCTCACACCAGGTGAAGCAGAGTGTGGCTCTTGCACTCACTTGCATTCTGCTCGCGCTCCTCCCCGCCCTTCTGGGGCACATGCCTCTCTGGCTCACGGTGTGTGCAGTTGGATGGGCTGGGGTGGAGTGGGGTGGATTTGGGTGGGCTGGGGTGGGGTTCGAGTCGATTTATAACACTATCTTTGGACACATACGTCTCTGGGTTATGAGTTTGTGTGTTTTAATACGTCTTGCAACTCAGTCAGCACGCTCAACCAGCACATCTTCCCTGCCCCGGCCTCACATCTCCCCTGCTCCCCTCTCCTTGTTTTGCTTACACCTCAGGTGTTGCTTCACGAGGGTGGTACGCTTCTAGTTTGCCTCAACTCCATCAGAGCACTCAACCCAGCGCCTCTTCCCGCCCCGGCCTCACGTCATGTCTCCCCTGCTCCCCCCATCCCTTTTCTCATTACCTCAGGTGTTGCTTCACGAGGGCGGTACGCTTCTAGTTTGCCTCAACTCCATCAGAGCACTCAACCCGGCGCCACTTCGCCGCCCAGGCCTCACGTCGCGCTTGCTGCAGCGAGCCCAGTTGCTGCTGCAGAGGCTGGTGGGACAGCAGGGTGGAAGTATCGGTAATAGAGCAGCTGCTAAGGGGAGTGTTCCGTCAGCAGGGACGCCTTGATTCTTCTTTGAAAGCCCGCTAGTTCCGATATTCATTAAAATGTTGCAGTCTGAGCTCCGGTATACATTTGAAAGGAGGGGTTCAAAATCCTTAGGAACTTGAAAAGTTGCCCCAAGATTGAGGCACACTTACAAACCCTAAACCCCACTGATAAAAGTATTTTTCCACTTTAAGCACAACAAAGGAATCTTTCATGCTCCTTGGAGGAGGCCCAATCGGAACTCATACCGGTAGCTCATATATCTCAGGACAAAAAATCAGTTAAACTGCTTACCACTACCAAAACAAATCAACTCCAATTCCTGAGATATGTTGCACTGTTACCTGGCAAAAAATCAGTTAAACTGCTTACCACTACCAAAACAAATCAACTCCAATTCCTGAGATATGTTGCACTGTTACCAGGTTCCTGAGACATGCCAAACCTATGCCAGGTACAAAAAAGCGAGGCGAGAAATTCCCACCGAGAATAATGAACGGATGAGGGAGGCAAGGTAAGTTACACTACAAAATTAGACGGTGTAGGATTGCTGGATGGTGTCGACATCAATGTTCTTGAGCTTCACAATGTTGTCCACATGGCCCTTGAGCGTCAAACCCTCCCGCAGCCTGCAGCACAAAAGAAGCAATGAGCATCAGGTAAATATCCAAAGACGAAAAAAGAGGCACAGTACAGGAATGCAACAGTTCAGAAAAGAGTCATGCTAAATCAAACACAGGAAGAGTTTTTTTCCGAGGGGTTCTTACCTGGCGATTTCTGCACGACGGCGAGCAGCCTCAGCTGCGTCAGCTCCACCAGCAGTGCCGAGCACAGCAAGGACAGTGGGAGCCTCGTCAGCAGCAACGGTCTGAAGCCCAGTGAGCGTGCGCTGTGCCGTGGCCCACCGCGCCTGCCTCTCCTCGATACCAAAGTTGGCCTTCTTGGTGAACGTGACCCTGTTCTCTGTGAGCAGATCCCAAGCCTTGCCCGAGAGCATGTAGGAGACGGCGAATTTGATGAAGTCCAGAGGGATGTATGTCACCAGGCTGTACAGAGGATAAACATGGTGGAAAGATGGGGTGGAACACAAGGTACAGAGGGTTTCAGTTGAGGGGAGAACAATTCATGTATGAAAACATCAAATCACAGCGCAATGTCATCGGCACAACAGATGTGGCAGAGCAAACATAGTGAACAGGATAACGAATCCAAGCAACTGAAAATGCAAGAGATTAGGAATGCAACAGCTGGGTGTTAGGTGGAGCCATACCTGTACAGCCAGACGACACCAGCCCAGCCCCAGCCACATCCCATGATGGAAGTGAAGCCCCAGTTGGCATACACCGCAAGGAAGGTGGCAATCTGCATGTGCACATCAAGCATTCTCCAGCACCATCATCACCACCAGCACCATCATCACCGCCAGCACCATCATCACCGCCAGCCAGCACCATCATCACCCAACACCACCAACATAGCAATGGAGAAAAATGGTTAAATTGATTCTTCTTGCCTTGTCTCCCCCACCTCCCCCTTCTTCATTTTCACCTCAACTCATCTCTCCTACCTTACAATTTGTTCTCAACAGTCTTTGAACAAACCAAGCATCCAGCTTGTAATGTTCCCATCCCCTTTCCTTCCCGTTAATTTCCTCTCTTTCCTCACACTACTTTCCTCGCACTACTTTCCTCACCTTCTTCCATGAGACCCCAACACTGAGAACTAAACCACTCACCAGCTGAGCGACAACAAAGGCCACCATGAGAAGAAGGCCTGGGCGTTCGAGGAAGGAGAAGCTCTGGGAGCGCGTGACAAAGATGAGCGCCTGAGAGATGATGGAGACTTGCAGGTAGAGCGCAGACATGAGCTTCATCTGGGAGTTGGAGAGCTCCCCACCGGGCTCAGCATCTGCGGGCCTCTGAAGGGACTCCACACCAAAGGTTCGCTGCATGTTATCAAGGCCAGGATAAGACAGAACAGAACGAGTTAGAAACAGAGTAGGAGGTGCTTGGAGGGGGCGAGGAAGGTGGAATGATCACGGGGACAAAGGGGTGATGGAGGCATGACAAAAGGAAATGAAAAAAAAGCAGGTGGGTGAATGCGCATCGATTGGGAGGGAAACGGGGGGGGTGGGAAAGGGGGCGGGGCGGGAGAGGGGAGCGGGAGGGGAGAGGGGTTGGGTGCGGAAGGGACAGGAAGGTGAGAACAAGAGAGACTGAGAATAGGAGACACACCCGTTCGATTTCTTACCTCAAAGAAGTTTGTCTCGTAGGCAGCCCAGAAAAAGACAACGCTCATGATTCCCAGGTACGATCCAAAAGCAACGCCCTGGCAGAAGATTTCTGAGAGCTTCCAGCTGTCAGGGGTCGGTGACGGAAGCACCCTGTCCTTGGAGATGGTCATGATGGTGCCTGGTAGAACAACAGGTGGTGGCATCAGGGGGAGAGCCCAGAAGGATGGCGGGAAAGGAAGGAGGAGGGGAAGAGGAAGGGGAAGGGGTTGGGAGAAGGGAGGGTGGGGAGGGGAGGGGGGAAAATAGGGGGAAGGGAAAGGGGATAGTGAGGGAAAAGGGAGGTGAAAACGGAATACAAGTGGGCGGGAGAATTTGGAACAAGAGCAGGAAAAACTTCGGGAAGGGGGGTGGATGGGGGAGGGCTGGGGGCTATGGATCACATATGAACCAGGCATGGATAAAGGAGGCTCAGGGGATGCCAAGCATTGAGCAATAGGGATGACAGATTGAAGAGGAGGAATACCGTCATTAAGGATGGCGATGATAAGAACCATGAAGGGGGCGAAGTCGAACTTCCAGATGAGGGCGATGAGCATGAAGCCAAGCTGCCAGGACAGCGAGTTGCAAAGGATACATTAGAGGCACAGAAACCAAGAAGGAATGTTCACAATGGCAGGCTTTGAACATGCAAGACACATACACCCACCCACACACACACACACAAAACGTAGCTCAGTATTCTGTTCAATGGGGTAGTTGGCAAACGTACCACAATACGGATGGTGATGGAGATGGCGTAGATCTGCAGAAACACAGGAAAAAAGAAAAAAAAAAAAAAAAGGAACACACACACACACACACACACACACACACACAGAGGCATGCATAAGCTCAGAGTCAGGAAGTTGAAGAGGGAGAGTACAAAGGAGTAGGATGTCACAGACACACTACAACCTCCAAATTACAACTTTTAAACTAACTCGCGACACTCACCGTGTAGTTCTTCATGCGCTGGAAGATGCAACGGCTGGTCAGGACCGCATGGATGATGACACTGAGACCGGGCTCCGTGAGGACAATGTCCGAGGCACTGCGAGCAGCATCCGTGGAGTCGTCCACAGCAATACCGATGTCCGCCTTCTTGAGAGCAGGGGCGTCGTTGACACCATCGCCAGTCATGCCCACAATGTGCTTCTTCTTTTGCAGCTGGTTCACAATCTCGTACTTGTGCTCTGCCAAAAGAGCATGAAAAAAACAAAACTTCTCATAATACTTTCCTCAAGCTTTGCTTTCATTCGGTCAACCATTTCAATGCACGGCAAAAAGGGGAGGCGGAGGAGAGGGGGAGAGAGGGGTGGGGGGGGGGGGGAGGAAGGGCAGGGGGGGGGGGGAGGGGGAGGGTGGGGGGGGGTCATTCTTCACTTTGAACAAGGAAGCTGAGGAGTACTGACGCACCTGGGAAGACACCAGCAAACCCGTCGGCCTTCTCAATAAGGTCTGCCACGTCAACGCCAATCAAGGAGGAATCCTTCGCTTGGCCCAGAAGCGCAGAGGATGGATACATATTTGTACCCATGCCAAGTCGCCGGCCTGTCTCCTTGCCAATGGCAAGCTGATCACCTGCAAAATCAAAAACAAGACAGACAGAACCAGAGACACACCACCAGGATATTTAAGACCTTGTATTGACATATTATTGCCCCAGGAAAAATAAAACACTGCAACCGCATGTCTGTCTTACAACATTCATACCCAGAAATTCTACAATTGCTCGTGACGTACCAGTGATCATCTTCACGTTCACACCAAGCTTGAGTGCTTCTTTAATGGTCTCTGCACTGTCATGGCGGGGAGGGTCGAACAACGGTAGGAGGCCTACCATCTCCCAAGGACCACCAGGCGCATCCTTGACGCCCTCAGGGACTTCCTGCAGTGACCAATTATCAAGACGGGATTGAACGCCAATCATCAACAGCACAAGAGGACCAATGCCATCCAAAGAAGCGTAGCAACGCCACAGCATAAAGAGTGTGGTCAGAAAGCTAAGACGAATCAAGAAAAGGTGCTTTAAGCTCACCTGGCGAGCAACGCCAAGAGACCGAAGTCCACGCTCAGCGAACCCAGCAATTGTGGCATGCACGCGAGCAGCAATCTCATTCTTGTTGTAGGCAAGGTCAAGGATCTGCTCAGGAGCACCCTTTGACGCCCTGTACATCTTGCCATCAGGCGTCGTGTAGGTGATTTGCGTGCGCTTGTCCACAGGGTTGAATGGGAAAAAGTGGACCTCCGTAATACCCTCCCGGGCCTACACAAACACAACGCAGACACGGTTAAAGAGAACTGTATTACCAGTGCGTACAAATTGCTGAACGCGAAACAGCGATGACAAAAGCTTACCTCCTTGGGGTCAGCGAGCATTCCCACAATGCATGCGTCAATAGCGTCTTGGTTCTCTGTGCGAGCAGCACGCGCGGCCAGCAGAAGCACAAGGTCTTGATCCGCGTCCTTGGCATAGACCTGCACGAAGCAGCGGTATCACGAGGGCTTAAACTTCGCTAAAACCCTGACGCATTACTACATCCAAAATAACATAACCCAGAACTCGCTACTTACATCGATAATTGACTTGTCAACGGTCAGCTTGTTGAGCGTCAGTGTACCAGTTTTGTCACTGCACAGAATGTCCATGCCAGCCATCTCCTCGATAGCTGTCATACGCTTGGTAATGGCTCCCTGCAATGCAAACATTAGAGCTTTAGAACCCGTTCAAAACCCCGAGCGAAGAAG